TCCAGACGTTTTGCTCTCTGAGCCTCTGCGATCCTGTTTTCCTCTGCAGCAGTTTCTGCAATCATTTTACGTCTGTCTTTCTCTCGTGCAGCCTGTTCAATTCTTGCCACTCTGTCCTGTGAACGCTTCACAAACTGAGGTCGTGCGTACAAAAATGCCTCTTGAAGGCTAAGTTTCTGAAGAGAAGGGGACGGATTGACCGCAGAATCGAACACATCCACTCGTAATTCATCACTAGTGCGACTTCTACTCGGCGTCTTCAAATTTGTCTCCGTTCTTTTTTCCGTCTGCGTTTTGCTCGTCAAAGGTAGAAACCAAGTGGGAAGTGGTCCCCTACGTGTTCTGTCCGAACTTCTTTGGGCACCGTGGCCCGGAGAGTTCTGACTGGCTACCAATCGATCTTTCGGTTTATGCTTAGATTCTCGCTGGTCCACTCGGTATATGAGATCTGACTTTGAGGGCGAGGGCTGAGAAATAACTCCAAACTCTTCGGCATCTCTAAGAGGACTCTTGGCTGACTTACGCTGGGATTTCATAGGTTCACTGTCAACCAGTCTCTTTCCTCTCCGTCTGATGTCAACTTCTTCCGTTTGCGTACTAGCGTCTTCATGCTGCCGTGAATAATCGGAGCTGGGAGACTGGCTCCTTGAGACGACTGGAGTAGGAATGTTGACACCAACATCTCGTTTCTTTGGCATGCCAAAGTCCATGCCATTGTATCTTTCTTCTCTTGCCCTGAGACCATATGAACCAGTCGTCTGTGCGACAGGCCTTTGTGAGCAGGTGCATGGGATTTGTGGCTCTGACCCTGTAGGTCTCGAGGTAGAAATAGGTATATCGAATGCTTGTGGTCTCGGAGGGTGTGCCACTTCTGAAGGTGCCCCTCTGTCTTTTTCTGGAGTCTCTTCTTCTCTTTCCCTTCCAGCTGTTCCATCACTCGATACAAATGACGCAGACTCAGTTGAAGTGTTTTCTCGAACTCTAACGATTGGTGAGATATCACGTGCCTTGACAGACTTAAGCAATTCTCTCAGTCGTATCTTATGTTTGATGGAGGAGCGCAGATGAGGCTCCATGAAGGCGTAATTGAAATACTCAGACACGTCCGACGAACCACTCGACGAGCTCGTCTTGTGTTTTTTACTTCTTTTACTTGGCCATCTGGACGTAGGGATGACGGACATTTGAGAGGACGAGGAAATACTCTCGTCTGTCGACTTTGAGATAAGAGAGGACAACTTGGAAATATTAGCATCCAGCCTTGCATGCGAGTCTTTCCCATCGCGAGAGCGATGATGAGACTTGCTATCATGGTGCTTTCTACTCCTCGATGCCTGTTCTGGCTGCGTTTGAAGGGAGGAAGAAACAAGCCTGTCAGCAGGGTACTTTGATCTTGATTTTCTTGAACTACCGGATCTTCCACCGACAGAATGGGCGGTACCTTTTGAATCTGTGCTTTCCATATACTGCCCAGCTAACCGCCTTGATCTTTCTCTAATATCAAGTGCTTCCTCTAGCGTTCGCTCTGACGTACTGTTACAGACAGACGCGTCTTGACTAGCGGAAGGGCGTGACTGGTGACCATGCGAACGGTCAGACCTTCTTTCCTCACGTGAATGATAATCATCGTCGTGATGATGGAAATCGCTCTTTCTCAGCACCTCACGTGCCTGTTTACCTTTGCGAACATTCGATTCTCTTACCATCCCATAATCTTTCGTTCTCGGCCTTCTCAACCCTTCATCCCTTTCCATACGACCTTCGTAATATTCCAGCCCTGGCTGAGTTGTTTCACGATAAACGGCAGCACTTCCAGCTAAATCAACGTCTTCCCTTGACAGCTGCCTACTGCCATCTCGAACACTATTTGGTGTAGAGTCCCCTGAAATGTAAACCACGCCCTCACGGTTTTGACTTGCATTTTCTCGTGCAGGGTTAGGTTCAAGACCAAGAGCCTTACGACGCCTGTTCGTGCTTCCAGGACCAGACGACCTCCGTATGTCGTAAATACCGTACGATGAGGTACGGTTTTCCTGGTTCTCCAGGCCATCCCGATATAAAACGGGCCTGTACATCTCATCTGAGGATGAGAAGTCGGTAGTTGAGTGGCTTCCGGTCTGTTTCGATGCAGTCAAATTGCGATCATTGGTCTGAGCTGAAGCGTCGTCTTCTTCAATACTCTGCTCTTGCAACGTTCCATTCTCTAATACGCTGGATCGTTCTGTAATTGGACCCAGGGGTGTGGACGACTTTTCCTTTTGTGAACTCAACTGACCCAAGCTAGTGACAGATATGGGAGAAATGGTACCTGCTCCGAGAGACCAGTGTAAGGACTTGATATGACTGTCATCCACTTGTATTGGAGTACTAAGATCACCATCCTGACTCTGCCTTTGCGGAATGGAAGATGATTCGTCTTTACCAGGCAGTCTAGTAGCAGTATCTATTTCCCTAGACCTTCCTGCATCTATTCTACTGTCACCATTCTCCATTTCCTCAGACCGTTTCTGCCTATGTTCTGAATGCTTTGACTGTCTTTGCATGCGCATGCGCAAATACTGACGATCGCCTTCCAACACTGGCTCATATGACAGGAGATCATCCGTATCATCTGAGGATGCAGTTGCATCACTGTCACTGGCATGTTGCACACCGCCTACACTCTGTAGTGTTTGTCTTTCATCTCGTTCTGTTCCGTTTGGGTAATGAGATGAAGCTCCTGTTCTGTCACTAAGACTTACGATGGTTTTGCCAGATACCAATACGCTATCTGCTTGCTTGGGACTGTGACCAGACAACTCCCTGGACGAACTTGTCGGTATTTTACTTTCCATTGGAATGCTGCTTCCAGCAGTGCTAGGAGGTGTTAGATCGTGAAATTGTTCCAATAACGCATGCGTGCCCGAATGAAGTACTTCATGAGATTTTCCACCAGTCATTTCTGTAGTAGTCGAAGGTGGTGTAACATGCTCTCCCCAAGCGATTCGCGAAGTCTTTAAGCTTGTTTCTATAGAACTACGTGAATTTTGCTCAGTTGAATATCTATTAGTAGTTGGTAAAAGGGGTACAGGTAATGCATCAACCGGTCCATCATCAATTAAATTGTGGTGGGGAAAAACTTCACGTTTGTCAATGGAAGCTGCAGGATATTCGTCCTCTAAAATCCTACCATCTGCGGCGCTACTAGTTGCAGAACTGAAGCGCGCTGGATCATGAGACGGTTTCTTGACAGCGAGTTCAGTTGATGCCGGCATCCTAACATTCGTGGCACTACTAGCTGCAGAACTGAACCGCATCAGGTCTTGCGTTGATTCCTTAATTGTTAGTTGGGCTGATGCAGGCATCCTATCATTCGTGGCACTACTGGCAGCCGAACTGAATCGCATCAGGTCTTGAGATGATTCCTTGACAGCGAGTTGGGTTGATGAAGGCATCCTAACATTCGCACTTGTAGCTGCAGCGCTGAACCGCATCAGCTCTAGTGAGGATTTTTCGGTGGTGGGCTGGGTGGAAATGGGCATTCGTACAATGGCGTCACTGTTGGCTTCAGAACTGAACCGCAATAAATCGTGCGATGATTTTTTGGCAGCTGGTTCTAAGTTTGACTTTGGAACTGCATCGACCGGGCTCATTTCGCTTGAATCATAAGGGACTCTTGCACTTGACCAGTTCGATACGCGTCTGGTTTCACTTCCTTCCGTGGCGTTACCCAGAGCAATATTGCTATCGGAAAACCTCCGATTAATTTCATCAAGTGAATATCTCTCGCCCAAACGTTCGTCGTTATGAGTGGAAAAAGCTCTTGAAAAAGGTGCGTCGTGTCTATTCAATCGCTCAATGGAGGACCGAGGTTTTGCCTGTGACGTCCATTGTGCTTCATGGACTCTTGACATACTAGTAGAAGCAGGCAGTCCAGCGCTAGACGTGGACCTTAAACTCTCTTCTGTCAAGGACTGTCTTTCAGAAGCCACTTCTTCTGCCTCGTCACTAACACTACCAGTCAGCTTTTCCTGTTTCAGTCTATCCAGCACTTGTTGTACTGCACGAAAGTTTGGACCAAGCAGTTTGGATACTGGACTCTCAGTATCACTGTCACTGTTCAACTGAGGGGCGCGTCGCTGCCTCAACTCGCTCATGAGGCTTACGCCTTTCTTGGTAGGGGGAACACTCCTCTCAATGATGTCTAGAGGTGTGATGTTGTGGTCACTCTGTGGTTGTGAGAGTACAGACACATCACTAGCACTGTCTTTACTAGCAGCTGTCCCATTGTCGATATCTGAGTTCTGCGAAGAAGGCACGACTACTGGTTGATTGTTGGCCATCCAAGGCGTCCGTTTAAGATCAGGACCGTCTCTTCCGTCAGGTTGTGATCTCTCTGGTGGCGAATGTTTGCTGTCATCATCTGACCAAGCATGTGGTATATTTTGTAATCTGTCGCCACTGTTTGATCCATGGGCAGCTGTGACTGCTCCAACATTTGTGACATGACTAGAGTCTTCATCATCTTCTCCTACAGCGTTCGGTCTCAGAGGAAACCATTCACTTGCTGGTAGTTTTGGTTCTGCGCCAGACTCGTCCATGCTGAAGGAAGTACCACTGTCACCTGGATCATCCTCTTGTACACGCTCTGTTAAGATAGAAAATGGAGATAAAAAAGATTGAAAGAGCTTTTAAGATGAGGAAAGATCAGTTTTCTTACTATCACTTCGTATGACTATTTTCATGTGGAAGAGTACTGCATTGGTTTTATCGCATTTGCCTACATTAAGCGATTGGCCTTGTGAAAACAAAGTGACCGACTTCTTTGAGCAAAGTCGGTTGTCTGTACTTATTTAAACACGCTGCATGGTGCTTCTTTTTCAGCGTATGTAGGTATTACAAGCAAGACCAGTTTCTCACGGAAAGAAAGAAATCTCAGCAACTAACGTAAAAGCACAGTTATGAGATCCTGACTGAGAAAAATAAACTCACAAAACAAATTTAAGAAAATGCTAAATTTTAAGATTTAATTCTCACACTGAAATACAAACGGTTTATAAGATAAAGTAGTGAAGAAGAAGTTTCGGTTGAATGGTCACTTCCCAAGATTTCTTCCACAGAGTGCAGTATCTCTGTATTTTTTCCATAGTTTCAACTCTTGGAGTAGAAAGTGCGTGCATACCATTAAGATGATCCGGATCAGGATCTGGGATCCGAGATCACTCAGATCATAGCACATCCAAGGACGGACGAATCCACCCAGGAAAAGGATTCATCAGTTCATATGACGTACCATAATCCGAGTGATCTCACTGGAACACACCCAGTGTCTTACCATCCTGAGCTGTTGCAGTTTCTTGTTGCAATGCCTCAGTGTTCTGCAGTCCAACCTCATCAAGATTTTCAACACTCAATGAACCACTGCTCAAACCACTTGCTAATGTTTCATCTGTAAGCAAAGCTGATGGTTGGGGTGACTGTGGTAGGCCTGCAGCATGGCTTAAAGACCTAACACTTGCTTTGAGTTGCTCCAGTTCATACCACTGTTCAGCATATGGGGACAGCTACAAGAAATTATTATTGTATTCACCATAACTGAAATGTTTTTAAAAAGGCTTCAGGGTGTCAGAGATGAGGCAAGCTGTTGCATTTTAAAAAGTTTACTAGCCTGGAGCAGTGTTACTGCTAGCCTACCAATCCCCATCTTCACTTACTTTTACTGTTTCTCAGCAAAGGCTGCTTGCCCGCCAAGTAAATCGTGATAAAATCAAGATAACCTGACTTGTCGATCCACTAGCACCAGGCTACTGGACAGATTTTTGTTGCACCCTGGCTTGGGTTTACTCCTGCCCAATAATAATGTGCCTTTACGGTACTAAGACAAATGCATGGGATTTCTTTTGTATGCAAGTCCTTGATTGACAACATACAAACAGAAACAAACCAATCATGTTTTAGATGACCACCAGTTCATGATGGCTGAATTGACAATCATTTTATCAACACTTGTTCTAACATCAAGTTGTCCTTTAGGTTCATATAAAGCAAATTCAAGTTAATTAAGGAAGCGCTCCATTGGGATGATCCTGATCAGGATCCGTGATCTAAGATCACTCAGATCATAGCAAATCAAAGGAACTGTTGAATCCACCCTGGGAAAGGATTCATCAGTTCCTTTGATGTATCATGGTCCGAGTGATCACAGATCACCAATCCAGATCCAGATCATTCCAAAGGAACACACCCTACAAGACATGGGGCTTTTTTCCAGGTACCCCTTGGAATAATACCCACAACAAGTCATTAGTACCCTTTGAAACTACTGGTAGGTGAAACAAATCACATTCCCTAAGAAAGATTTCACTAACATGGGTGGTGTTGTCTCCATTTTGCTTCATGTTTTCATCTGGGTTGGTGGTGCTGGTCTTGTTTACTTCTTCATTTTCAAATCTGACTTCAGATCCAACAACCTCAGAAGAATCTTCCTCGTCAAGAATAAACCACTGTTCGCTTCCATCCTGAAGAAAAAAAAATCAAGATCTTAAAAAAAAAATCTGCAAGTGTGACAAAAGAAGTCCCATAAAAGAAATAACAAATAACTATAGTAAATCAAAACCATTATATACCCTGAATACTAACTATCTAGTAGATTGTCCCCTTCTTTTTCATTCCCCTTCTTTTCACTCTCACCCAGCCATTTTTTAAGATAAGTCTACTGAAAGAAGGTTGTATGCTCAAGTTCTGGTTAGAACAGCAACCAAAGATTAAAAACCTGGTAAGATCATGGTTAAGGCCCTGTTAGGGTAAAATTCCGACAAGTGACATGGCCTTGAAGCAGGGACATAAGACTAGATGAAATGCTGACAAATGACATAAAGAAGGGACATTAAATATCGGCAAGGACATAGCCTACTTCTCAAAATGTGAAATGACTGTATTTAAAATTCAGACCAGGGACATAGGTACATGTACCCCTCTAAGAGGGCCTATGCTTGCTGTAATAAGACCTTGCCTCAGTTCAGATGATCACATTAACCTACCTTATCAATTCAAACGGGCCATAAAGAACCAACATGGTTATTCAAAAAGAGCATAGAATGAAGAGCCTATGCTGTTGCCTATTTTTGATGAGTTGAAATACTGTGAGTACCTAATGGTGCAAGCTGGTGTAGTGTCTCTGCCATTTCTAGCAGACCTAATACATGAAAATGGACTATTCTGGCCACTATTGGACAATCTTGTTAATTGCCTGAGGGTTTATTTTACTTTCAAACCGACAAACGCCCGAAGACTTGAAATATTTCAGGAATGTTTATTGTGTTAAGACCAATCACAGCAAAGATCAGGGCATGCCAACTAACCATAAAACCACAAACTAATGAATGTGTTGCTTACAGTTTAGTTTTCTCATGCCTGATTGGCTTTTTCTTGAAACAGAGTTCATTACTATTTTTGGGTGATTTATGAGGAAAATTAATAATAGTATTATTATTATAATTGTTATTGTTGACACTTGTAGTATTCTCCCAGTCACCCATACCTTTTCTTGATGATCATCATTTGGTTCAGCACCTTGTGTGCTAGCACTAGATCCATTGTTCTGAAAAAATGCTGAAGATTCTTGCTGTTCTTCGGAATGTGTCTCAGATGGCAAATCAGATTCTAAATTTGCTAGTAAATGCCACTGTTCTAAGTACTCCTGAATACAACATAAAATGCAAATTGAAATGTCAGTTGACTTTCTCAATACCATGTTTATTTATCATATTAAAATAAACTACTGTTGTTCTTTCAAAAATACAATAAGGATATTCTAAGCAATGGATATAATTTATTATGAATGGCACATATGCACATAAATGTATTTGCTCATCATATGACATTATGGATTATTCGGAATTTTTCCAGATTTTTTACACGACTACTTTTAATTAACTCCAGCCTGTGAAGAGCCGCTTCCTCTCACAAAAAAAAGGGGGAAGAGGGACATCTGTGTCATGCTGTCTTTGATTGTGTTCTGGTTTCCCTGGAATGTTGAGGAAAACCTCAAAATAAAAGAAAAGGAGGGCTCTAATTT